TTTAAAAAAAAATCTTCCTAATTTGAGGGATAAAAACATTTTTAAAAGTTATCAATAGCTTTTTGTTGCCATTTCAGCTTTGCATCCATATTATATAAATGTTTAGTTCATCCATTTTAGTAGCTGCTGTTTTCTGTTCTTCAAATATAGACAACACTGTGTGGGTATTACGGTGTTTGGTCACTTCTTTTAAATCGGAGGGACAGCATCCTCTTGTAAATAGGCAAAACTGGAATATACTTTAATTCTTATCATCCTCTGAAAATCTGTCATTCTGTTCACTGTATGACACAGAAACTAAGTCCTTGGTTAAGTATCTTAAATTTGTTAGGTATGAAATAAGAGTCCACAATATTTACCTGATTTGTTGGTTCTCTATGTGTACATACAGTACATGTATCTTCTATCTTCTGCTGTTTGACATTCTTGAGCGGCTGTAACATGGAGCTCTCTCTGCACCTTTGCAGTTGATTCCTTATTTTCTTAGTTGTCTCCATAGAGGTTTTTTAAATGTTTTTGTTTTGGATGCTTTAAATACTTTAGCCTTTGTTTAGAATAATCTGATAGATCTGTTAAGCATCTTCAGGGTCTTAATGCTGATTCTTCTAAATACAAATTCCAAAACTGGTATGCAAATGTATCTTTTATACAGATGAAATATCAAGTAGATGAAGTTTTAGCAGACCGAGTGGTAGGATGCACACACCAGGAATTCAGAAAATGTAACAGCCTTTCTAAGCATTAGCTGTCATAAACAAGTCTACACAAATCACTCTCAGCAAGTAGATCCCAACTACTTTAGAGTAGTAAAAATAGAGATCAAAAATCCAAGGAAAATAGTTTAGAAAAGTCTAAACTTGCTTTAGCAGCTCACATTTTTTTTACAAAGCTAGTTCTTCTTTACCATCTTAGCTCTTTCCCCAGAATAGCATTGTTTGGAGTGTTGGAGCTCTCTCTTCTTCCCATTAAACCTGACTCAGCTGAGACAGTGGAAGTGCTAAATCAATAATGGAAGGGATAAATACTAATAAATTTAAGGTCTATTTTTGTCAGTGATTAGGAAACACAGCTAATTATCTATGTTATTCATAAACATTTTATGCATTTAATATAAAATAAGAATTAAGCTAGGAAAAAAATAGAAAATATTTCTTTTATGGGTGGGCACCATAGGAGAAGAGCCATGTTAGTCTACGGTAGCAAAAAATCAGAAAAAGTCTGGTAGCAAGCACTTTTTCCAACTAAAATTTTATTAAAAGCCATAAGCTTTCATAAGCTTCAACAGATGGCTAGACTGAAGTAGGATTTAAACTGGGATGAGATGGGAGGAAAAGGAAAGACAGGTTGGTTATACAGATGCAGGTTACATGTGAGATAGGTTCCATGTACCTATCAATAATTGCAATGTGTTAAAAACCCATTGTGTTTCATGGAGTGTAAGCACGAACATGGGAATGCTCAACACAGTGAAAGATGAAATGAAACAACTACAGAATGACATCTTAGGCATCAGCGAATTGAGATGGACAAATTAAGCCTGTATACATGGACATCACCAGATGGAATACATAGAAATCAAATTGACTATATTATTGCTAAAAGGAGGTAGAAGAGCTCAGTTATAATATCAAAGACATGGCCAGGTGCTGACTATATAACAGATCACAAACTGCTCATGAGCGAGGTCCAACTTAAGCTAAAGAAGAAGAAAGCTAGCCATTTTCCACAATATGCTCCTGAATGTATACCCACTGTTTTCAATGAGAACACCAGGAATCCTGAACTGCATTGAAAGGGAACCAGAGGAGCTGAGGAATAAACTTAAGGAAGTATTAAGGATGAATGTGAAAAGAGACAGCCAAAGATGAAGAAACCATCATTTGTGAGAACTAGTATGTTCAGATTTAAGCTATCTATGCCAAATTGCAACATTTAATTCCATAGCCATCCATTATTTAGGGAATCCATTATTTAGAGAATAAAAATACTAAAGCTGCTGTAATCAATGTATAAAACCCTTACAGTTCCAAAGGGCATGCTTGATCAGTCAACGAGCCTAAGGTAACTAAGTGTTTGAGAGCATCAGTTAAGATGCTGGTGCCTGCACTGAGCTAGAATATGAACTACAAGAGCATTAGAAAAGAAGAACATTATATACGTGTACAAAAACAAAAGCATTTATGCAAGAGGTGCTGAAGCCCAAGCAACTAAAGGCCTAAAGTATACAGTATCAGGGAAGAAACAAAAGGCAGGGATTAGCAAATAGAAACTCAGGAAAGCAACAGCTATAATGGATCCACAATCCTAAAATCTGACAACTAAGAGCTGTTTCAATGGAATCATATTTAGAAAGACTAATCTCAGAGCACTTATGCCATTTCATAAAAATAATGTTCTTGAAGCCAGATAACAGCCCCTGAACCAAAATAAGAGAATTAAGCAACAGATTCATCAAATCAGTAAGGGTCTCCAAATACACAATCTATGATTTATTCTATAATTTCAAGAGTAGAATCAGTAGAATTTTAAAGGGACTTCTGGTCCAGAAGGGGTGACTTAGCCTAACAGCAAAACTGCTACATTTGTTGGCATCAAGGAAAAAGCACCTTCCAGTTTGATCCCAAAGAGCTTTTCTGAAGCTACAATATCCACACAGCACATATAAAACAATTTAGTGCACTGATCCATAGTGTTGCAGGAACTCAAGAAAACGTATGCAAAGCTGTCTGGTTGAAGCAGTTTCCACCTCAGAGGGCGTAGCTTTCGGGCTGGTTTTGAACAATACTCTAACTGCCCGACGCGTTAGGGAGTTTCTCGCCAGGAGAACAAGCAGAAAAGAGGCTTCAGACTAAGGATATTCTTAGGACCGATCTGTATCTCAGTAGCTAGAGGAACGGTAGATCTGCTATGCTGTTAACTGAAAGTAGATCCCGATAACCTCGGTAAAACAACTTTCACGAAAAAAGCACTGTGCGTTCCCATGGATGTCTGTTTCTCCGTGTTTGGGACCATCACATTCTAGGGAGAAAAACAAACCTTGGCATCAAATGCCCTGTGGCCTTTTGGACGGTCCCAGCGAAAGTCCTGCGCGACTGTATTTTTTGAGATAATACTTGAAATGAACCAGCCAGCCATCTCTGCCTGCGAGTCAGAGGTGCCGCACATCTTCTCAAACGAACGTTACGGCCCGCGGGATGGTACTGCGGCGCACTCACGGACCACGCCCCGGGACCGGCCCGAAGCCCCACGAGGGGGACCCTGCCTAGGCTAAACGCCCGCCCAACCCACTGCCGAGGGCGGGGGAAGGTCGGCTCACCATCTCCCCTTTTCGCACCTGAGGTCCCATTGAACAGCGCCAGAGAAAAAAGAGAAAAGACCGCGAGTGGAGAACTCCGGTTCATCGTCCTTGTAAGGGAGAAAACGGTGGGCTGAGTTTTCCCGCTCGCCGTCCGCGGCCGCAGGAGGCTGGAAGGGGCGAGCGAAGCGGTTGAGGCGGGCCGAGAAAAGAGGCTCGGGGCCCTTCGCGCGCCCTCCCGCAACAGCCTCTTGGAAGGCTGGAGAGGCTCCGCCGGCTCGTGAGGTGTCCCGGTCTTGGACGAGGGGAAGGGGAACGGAGAGAGATTTTAATCCGCTTCCCACGCGGCTATTCACCAATTGTCGGAATGCGATTCTAACCCGCGGGATGTAACCGATTTGTAAACCGTTTATATTCCTATCTTTTTAATAAGCATGACATTGGCGGAATAAGATTTGTTGCGTGGACGGGACAAAGATAATCCGAATGATCAGATAACCAAGAAAACCGAGTTATATGGAGCCATGGAAATGGTAGTCTTCGTCGGAGCCTGAATAATTTCCCACCTGAAGGCCATTTCCTGCCACTAAACTGCTTTGCCACTAAACTTTGCCCTTACTCTGAACTGGGAGGCCTTAGATATTTATGTCAGGTGGAGGGCACTCTTGGTCTTTTTTCTTTTTACCCATGACTTCTACTATATCTCTGTAAATTAAGAACAACTATAAATTACAGCTTTAGACATACCTTGTACAGACAACTCTGAATCAGATGGATTAATGGTCTGGTTCATATAAGGCAGATTTCTGTATTATGGAGGAAAAGGAAGCTTGACAGATACTTTTATGTATATATGAGAAGGGGTAAACAAATACATGTATTTATATCCTAGGTTTATATTTGGCCTTTAATCAGGAACTCAAGGCAATGTACATAGTGCTCCCTCCTCCCATTTTCTCCACAACAACCCTGCACAGCAACCTTTGGCTGGGCTGAGGGAAAGTGGTTGCCCCAAAGTCACCCACTGAGCTTCTGTGGCCCAGGGTGGACTAGAACCCGGGTCTCCAGATACCAATCTAACACTTTAACCACTCCATCACATTGGCTCTCATTCGCTCTTCTGTGCAACTGAATACACACATTAAAGACTTAATTCTGAATAAATCTGCATATTATTTGACTGAAGGATATGTTTGAGTCAAAAAGGGAAATGTAAAGATGCTCTTAAACCAAGATCAATTCCTGGTTGTCACCACATGAAGAGGCTGACACAGCTTTCTTGGTGACAGTACAGAAGTGGCCTGCCATTACTTTCTTCCAGATGTTTTTCCCAGAATGTAGATCTGGCCTTGGGAAGAGAACAGTGAACCATTAAGGGAGGAGAAGCAGCAACTCAGTCCTGCGATAGAGGGAAGCATCAGAAAGGAACTCAAAATAACCCAGCCTTAATTTTGGTTGATATTCGATGGGGCAGAAAGAACCTCTGACAAGCTTTCAAGATTCTGTTATTCTACGCTACAACAATAAAGAGCATTCATGGAGTCTATTGGGAATGAAAATACATGTTTTAATATACCAACAGGGGCAAATTAAAGTCATAAACTCTATTTATTGTTAAAACAATGCGTTTTTCAAAAATGATGAAATTGCAAGAGGATGCAACATATTTAAAAAGCAATCTGAGATATTTATAGTACATCAAAAAGCAAGTTTGCCTCTTCATACAACTAGGTGGAAAATGGTCCACACCACAGTCAAAAAAAGAATGTGTTGAATGCTCACAGTGTTGGTTTCACTAAGTTGTTTCTCCACCCAGTGTCTGTACTTAGGCAAACTAGTGTAAATTCCTGGAAATCTTGGTCGGCCACAGCCAACACCATAGCTGGTGATTCCTATAAGGTAGTATTTAGAATCTGATAAATAGCATACTAGAGGTCCACCACTATCTCCCTGAAAAATGAAAAATAAAAAGAACAATAATGAGTAGTGACTAATTCAAAAGCGTATGTGCATAAAGGCTATCTTCCTGTCAGCCTTCTAGTGATCATACAGGGGCCAAATATCTTCAGTGACATTTAGGGCTTAAGAGCTCTAATCTTTCACCCCACAGGCTCGTCCTGATGCTATAAGCCCAGCTATGGCAATGTGAGAGTAAAGAATTAGGTCTTCCTCATGGCCACATTAATGCATTCCTCCTGTCCTTGAGTTAGTATGAAAGTGCTGTCCCCACAACAGAGCTCAACTGAGGATGAACAGTTTGTTGTTCTGACAGATTTAATCTAGTTTCAATAGAAGCAGTCCAGTGAAGACATTAGGTTGTATTCATTACTTACTTGTGCTTTATTTGCATTGAAATCAATAGGATAAATTAGTCATTACTAACTTAAATCCTACTGATTAGATTAGAATGAAAGCATTATTTAGTCTAGCTCTAAAATGGTAAAAGCAGCAGTAATTGATCTTTTGTCTCAATCCACAAATATCCCACATATAAAATTATGAAATTGCATCAATTTTAATTTTACTTTCTGAAATTTCCTACCTGCTTCAGTGCACCTGTAATTTGTTAATCTAATAAACCTAACTGGATATTAAGGGAATGTGTCTGAGACAGATTTTACCTGACAGCTATCAACAGCTCCAGTTTCAGAGCCGGCACAAAAAGTAGTACTTGATACGGTTCCTGCATACCAGGTGTATTGATTGCAAATGTTTAGTGGAAAAAGTTTTAGCTGAGCTTCTTGTAATGTGTAGCTGGCTTTACCTGTAAAGAAAACAATAGCTTTTAACTTGTTTACTCTGCAACAAGAATATAAAAATGCTGAATATTGGCAGTTCTTTATCTAGTACAACTCTTCTAATGCTAAGTCCAGTCCATATTTCCTATGCAATCCTGAGGACCTATATTAACTGCCATAAATTTAGAGGGATGCCAAATTCTAGTTAGCAGCTAATGTTGACTACAGATTAATACGGTGACACTGAGAGAGTATCATTTCATCTTGAATATGCCTCATTATCTCATCTTTCTAATGTCTAGCTTTTAATTCAGAAGTCCATGTTGAACAATACTCCATAACACAGGTTTTCCTGCACACACACATGTTGATCATGCGCAAGATCTAAGATATGAGAATAATAATAATAATATCAGGGGTTAAGGCTAAAGCAAAAAATTGAGGAACTACTTGTTATCTAGAGATCTACCAAATAAAAGTGCAAATCTGATATTCATGCAAATTCATAGAATCTGCATCTGTTGATTCTATGATGCAAGTGGGAACTTGCAACTGTGAACAATTTTGACATATCCTTGTGTTAGTGGCACTGTATTTGTGGATGGGGAAAAAGTGGTTTCAATACACCGAATGCCACTTCAGAAACAGCAGCAAATCACTGCCTTGTGCTTAAAGATATGGCCTGTGTACTCATTGGAGAACATTTTTAGCTTGCTCTGCTTCCCAGTTTCTGAGAATCCAATTATTGGCATGGCTGAGTAATCCAAGTGAAGAACATATTAGTTAATGTTAGGACTTTCAAAAGCAATAGATTTGTGTATACTGTACATTTATTATTCCTTTTATTTTTGTGAGGAAAGGGAAGAGACCTGTGTTTAGGTATAGACTGAGGGGTGGGATGAGGTGCTCAGTTAATGGTTGACAAGAAAGCACTGTCTGACTGACAGTTATCTACTTTTTTTTACCAGAAAGTACAAGTACTGATTAGCTGGTGGGTCTCTGCAAGCTCTATAGACTCACAAGCATGTAAACATATCTGTGTTCATAGCTTGCTGATATCAACTTAGCAATTCTTCCATGGAGGGAATCAAACATCCTTTCCAATAAGAGGCATAAAGTATCCACACAGCAGTTAGCCTGTACAAAGCCAGTTCAATATATTTTGTGAGAATATAAGCCTGAGTTAGCAAACAAGACTGCGGTAATACAGTATATAAATGATAAAACTACCACTTTTCTCTAAGTATAATATTTGGTGTAAATGTAATAGTCTTCAAATGAAATTTTCATTGCATATCTATTACTACAGGTAGTCCTCGTTTAGCAACTGTCTCAGACAGCGATCGCTCACAGTTACAACGGTGATGGAAAAGTATCTTTGCAATCAATGCTAGGGGCCAGACTCTTTTAAAAAATGGGTAGGGTTAGGACAAAGAAGCTGATAGCTAGAGCAAAAATGTCAGTGAATTAATTTTATTTAATTACATTTAATATGATGACTCCCCATGTATCTAATAATTTTAATATTAAAAATTACAATTCAATGGCACCTTTTTAAGGGCCCCTGGATGTCCCATCCAAGATTTGGAGCAGAAATGCACGTGCACCCTTGCTAAATAAGTCCAAACTTATTCAGTATCAGCTTTTTCCTTTCCTATTTTGGACAGTAGCTTATGCTTTTACTCTGCATTAAGAAAATGGGACATATCAGGAAAAAAGATGGCTTTACAGCTTTATAGCCTCTTCAAGCAAGTATGTTTAAACTCTTAAAAGTTTTTTTATTTCATTATTTAAGTTTAATTTCTATTCCATTTTCTGTTAAAGTGAATGTTCAAGATCACTAATATTAAAAAAATACAAAACACATAAAATAACAAAAATGCTAATATTGAGTGACCGAGCTAAAAAGATGTGTGTTAACTTCCCTTCTAAAGTTAGATAGAATGGGGGCCAAATGTGAGTCTAGACTACCTACATTTCATGGCCTGAGTATGATACACAAAAAAGCTTTTTCTCATTGTCATTCAATGTCATAGTAGCAGTGGCAAACTTCTATTACCCAAAGAGTAACTTTCCTTCACCTCTGGAGGAAAAGATCTGAAAAATATGTACTGTATCAAGAATCATAGGACTGAAGTCTGAATCTTTGTTATTTGGGATGAAAACTGAAAATAGTCTAACTAGAGACTATTCATAATTTGTTCATGGTCTGTTACTAGTAGGACCAGAATGGCCTTTTGCAAAGAGAAGAGAATACCAGAGAGAAGGAAATGGGCTGCAAACAAGTCTCTTTTAAAGATTGGTATCCAGGAAAGGAAAGAAAGTGAGTGAAAATTATCTCATACATTGTATTGTTTATATCAGACTTCCCCTTCCTATTCTCCTCCAGAACTAGTACATACAACTCCCATTATGCCCAATCAGGATGACTATACTGGGAAGGATGTTTTAGATCTTAAATATATACATATATCTAAAAATTTAAAAATACTGAAGTGCAAATCTGTGAATATCAAGTATGTCCAACTGAGAATTGTTTCCAGAAGCAGCTCCCTCCCGATTGTACTTTGTTTTCTCTGTGTGTAATATGAGAAAGAGAAACAGTTCGGTGTAGTGGTTAAAAGCACCAGGCTAGAAACTGGGAAACTGAGTTCTAGATCTGCCTTAGGTACAAAGCCAGCTGGGTGACTCTGAGTCAGTCATTCTCTCTCAACCCTAGAAATAAGACCACTCATTTCAAGCCACTTCTGAAAAATGTTGCCACGAAAACTGCATGGACTTGTCCAGGCAGTCACTAGGAGTCAAGATGGATTTGAAGGTACCCCCCACAAAAAAAAGTGAGAAAAACTATAAAATATATTAATTGCAAATAAACTTTCTGAGATCACTGAACTCATTCTCACTTTTAACAATAGGTTACTTTAAAGCAAAAGACTTACCTTTTTCCTTTTTCATTCCCCATCCAGTTATATAACATGTCATATCAGAGGTCAAGACAAGAGTTGAGTTAGGCAAGCAGATGGGCTGAATATAGTCACTGTATGTGATAGACTTGCTTAGTTGAAACAAAGCAATATCATTTCTATACTCTTCTGTGTCATAGTAATAATGCACCTTGATGGCTTTTACACGGCTTTTTATAGTGTAAATTCTGTGTTTGAAAAGATGATGCAAGCCAATCACAGCCCTCCACATCTCTGGAGCCCTAGGAGAAAATAAAATATCTTTAAAAATTAGTAATTATTATGGAATTATTGTTTCAGAGATATGAAACCACAGTGACTCTAGGCAGCAAACAAAAGATTATAAACCAAAAGACAATATAACACAAGCAAAGACTATCAATATAATACATGCCCAAGATCTCAGAACATACATATTCAAAATTAAACAACCAACAACCAAATCAACAGCAAAGATTGCTTAGCATTCTGGTCCAAATGCCTGAGGGAACAACCAGGTTTAAATGCCTTGTGAAAGACTAACAGAGTTGGGGCCATCTGAATCTAAAAGGCACCCAAAAAACTGCATTCAGCTTATCTGCGGATAGGCTTATCTGCGAGTATATATGGAAAAACTACTAAGTACTAAAGATGCTTGCCATGAAGGGGCTGAATAATTCTGAGACTAATTATAAGTTGCATTTTCAGTTGAAAACCACTTGAAGCATTTGTTGTGTTGAGCTGTTTCAATTGCTTTTGTTTGATTTGTTCATTGCAAACAGCTGAAAGTCTGTACATTTTGACA